GAAGTGATGGTCCGAGATCGCTTTGTCGATGATGGTGTGATCAGAGACGGTGAAGCCCCGAGTGATCACCAGGTCGAGGGGATGACCGCAGACTTGGGTGGAGGAATAGATGTGGAGGGAGAGATTGAGGGAGGAGATAAGGGAGGAAAGGTCAGCAGAGGTAGAGCAGGAGGGGGTAAAGTGAAGGCTGAAATCGCCAAGGATAAGGAGGTGTTCGGAGCAGAGGGAAAGGGAAGATAGGAGGGTGGAGATGTTGGGATGAAGGTTGGGGAGGGCTTGGGGGGCTGGTAGATAAGGAGAATTTTGAGGGAAAGGTTGAAGGGATGATAAAGGGTAAGGTGCTTAAAGGAGGGGAAGGTTCCAGAGGAGTAAGGGGATAGGCCGAGCGGGGACTGGGATCTGAGAGTCACACCGCCACCACGGCAATTAGGTCATGGGGTATGATGGAAGGTGTAGCCAGTGTGGCATCTATCAGGGAGAAGGTGTCAGCTGGAGTGATCCAGGTTTCAGTGAGGGCGAGAATGTCGATGTTTTCATCGACAATGAGGTCTTGGATGGTGAGTGTTTTGTTGGCGAGGGAATGGACATTTTGTAGACCGATGTGGAGGGAACAGTCGGTGGCGGAAAGTGGGAGGGCGAGGGGGGTGAGGGGGAGGACTGACAGGGAGGGTGGGGATGTGGATCAGGGAGGAGAGGTTAGCCCCCGTGGTCAGGGACTGATGAGCCTTGCGGTGAGAATGGGGGATAGGGCAGTCAGAATGGGTAATGTTGGACAGTCAGCAGTGTCTGCCACAGTAGGCCCGACGGGGGATTCGCAGACTGGAGCAGAGGGAGGCCGTGGGATGGTCAAGCAAGGATAGGAGTCGGGGAGGGCGGTGGGAGAGGAGGACGAGAGAGAGTAGTGGAGGGTAGAGGACAGGGATGGGAGCATTATGGGAAAGCAGCTCGGATCGGTCTACTATACACACGGTTTCCAGGGTTGACAAGTTGATTTCTCGCCCTCAAAATTAGCTGACTTCCAAGCTGTCAGGTTACCACTGATGTTACTTCCTGTAGGTGATGCGCAATGCTCGTCTTCGGTTGTCCTCCCGATGTGAAAGGGGCTATACCAATGTAATTTGTTGTTTTTGCTCAGGAATTCCAGTCCGCAAGAAGTGAAGCTGAAGAAATGTGATTGTTGTCACTCGGAGTGCACAAGTGATGACAGTGGGCTCTGGTGATCCGGAAGTCAGACATTTTATCGCACTTTGTCTGAGATATTGTATCCAGGTGATGGTGTCGCCCTACACATCACTAACACGATAAAGTAGAAACTTTGAAGCCACATTGTGTTTATATAGATATAAATAGATACTACAGGTAGCCAGTCACTTTCATCTTTGTAAATAGATCTGGTGTGCGGTTTATCTGAACAGTTAGCAACTCCCTCATTCAAGAGCAGTTTTGTACCATTAATTAAATTCTATGAGGCATGACTTGTTTCTCAGACAGGTCATACAGATGGTTATATTCTGAGGTACTGAAAGGGGAAAATTCTACGCCAGACATTTCTGGGAAAGAATTTGGACTTTGTTCAACAGCAGCTGTCAGTGTTCAGCAAATCATCAGCTGTTATCATCGCTGAATTCCTACTTGGATGGAGGTCTGTTATCTGAAATGCAATCTTTTTGTCTTGCCAACTTCCTCCTCTCCCCAAATTTAGACTTGGATCTCAGTTCTAACTTTTGTGTGTCTTGGTTCCTCGTGGCCAGCAGAATGGCATCTGAGTGGGAGTTCTGAGGGGGTCGGTCTCAGATCCATCCACCTACCAACCATTACAATTTACACTTACACCCGGTTGTTACTCGATTGGCGGATCGCTTTTCCGGGGGTAATAATTCCTTCAAAAAAGACCTATAAATTGGTCACTTCAATCCATGACAGTTTGTGGAACACTGCTGTGCGCAATTGGCTCCCGCATTTCGCCCACAAAATATAGTCAATTCACTTTGTGGTATATTCTTTGAGATGGCTCGAAGACATGATAAGGCACTATATCAATGCAAGGATTATTATACAGTGCCTTTCATGCCGGGAGCACATGTCAAGTGCTCTGGAACGCTACCCTGCGTGAAGGGTGCTATATCAATACAGGTTGTCGTTCTCATAGCCCTTCACACAGCGTTGCTGGGTCAGAGGTATCTACAGGACTCGTTAGTTACAAATCCTTTTTGCAACTCCAGCAAAGGAGAGGCAAGTGAATGATATTTAATTGCGGGATGTCATTGCAAATTAGTCAGTTTGTGACAGTAGAAACACAACCGCACATCTAAAAAGAAAACACGCAACAAAATCAGGACCTTTAAATCCATACATTATTAGCTATTCTGGAGTTATTGCTCATTTCACCACTAAGATCTGACTTGAACTTGAACCAAAAGCCTCTTTAATTCCTGTGTGGCTGTGTTATTAATCACACGAACCTGGAATGATAGTTCACACTATCTCCACGTACAGCTAACACATCCCTATTTTTATATATGGAGCAAAAAAGCAGATTGTTAAAAGCCTCAAATGCAGGAAGTTCTGCACTTAAAAGCCAGACAGACAGTGCTGGAGAGGGGGGGGGGAGGGGGAGAGGGGAGGGGGGGGAGGGGGGGGGGAGGGGGAGAGGGGGGGGGAGGGGGAGAGGGGGGGAGAGAGGGGGAGGGGGAGGGGTGACGCTTGGCTCCCAATCCTAAATAAAACGTTATTTATTGCAAAATCATTACAAATAAATTAAAGTTTCTGTGCCCGGGGGGGGGGGGGGGGGGCAGTGCTGCTCTCCCCACCGCTCGCTGCTCAGGGGGGAGGCGCTGAGCTGAGCCCCTTCCCCCCCTCTCCCCCCCTCCCCTCCCGCCGGGGACCGCGTTTCCTTCCAGATCCTATAGTCGGTTGCAACCGATGAGCGCGGGCGGTGCAGCGGGGATCGCGCTTCGGGGAGAAACATTATCCGGTCAACCACAGGGAGAGGGGGAGAGAGAGCACAGAGCCGACACCGACCTCCCGCACCGCGCGTCACAGGCCAAATCACCTGCAGCGGCCACAGGAGAGCAGAGGGACAGCGACACCGACTCAGCCCCGTCTGAGCCTCTCCCCGTCTGAGCCTCTCCCCGTCTGAGCCTCTCCCTGTCTGCTCCCTGTCTGAGCCTCTCACTGTCTGAGCCTCTCCCTGTCTGCTCCCTGTCTGAGCCTCTCACTGTCTGAGCCTCTCCCCGTCTGAGCCTCTCACTGTCTGCTCCCTGTCTGAGCCTCTCACTGTCTGAGCCTCTCACTGTCTGAACCTCTCCCCGTCTGAGCCTCTCACTGTCTGCTCCCTGTCTGAGCCTCTCACTGTCTGAGCCTCTCACTGTCTGAGCCTCTCCCTGTCTGAGCCTCTCCCCGTCTGAGCCTCTCACTGTCTGCTCCCTGTCTGAGCCTCTCACTGTCTGAGCCTCTCCCCGTCTGAGCCTCTCCCCGTCTGAGCCTCTCACTGTCTGCTCCCTGTCTGAGCCTCTCACTGTCTGCTCCCTGTCTGAGCCTCTCACTGTCTGAGCCTCTCACTGTCTGCTCCCTGTCTGAGCCTCTCACTGTCTGAGCCTCTCACTGTCTGCTCCCTGTCTGAGCCTCTCACTGTCTGAGCCTCTCACTGTCTGAGCCTCTCCCTGTCTGAGCCTCTCCCCGTCTGAGCCTCTCACTGTCTGCTCCCTGTCTGAGCCTCTCACTGTCTGAGCCTCTCACTGTCTGAGCCTCTCCCTGTCTGAGCCTCTCCCCGTCTGAGCCTCTCACTGTCTGCTCCCTGTCTGAGCCTCTCACTGTCTGCTCCCTGTCTGAGCCTCTCTCCGTCTGAGCCTCTCACTGTCTGCTCCATGTCTGAGCCTCTCACTGTCTGAGCCTCTCCCTGTCTGAGCCTCTCCCCGTCTGAGCCTCTCACTGTCTGCTCCCTGTCTGAGCCTCTCACTGTCTGAGCCTCTCCCTGTCTGAGCCTCTCCCCGTCTGAGCCTCTCACTGTCTGCTCCCTGTCTGAGCCTCTCACTGTCTGCTCCCCCCTCTCACTGTCTGCTCCCTATCTGAGCCTCTCTCACTGTCTGCTCCCTGTCTGAGCCTCTCACTGTCTGCTCCCTGTCTGAGCCTCTCACTGTCTGAGCCTCTCACTGTCTGAGCCTCTCCCCGTCTGAGCCTCTCCCCGTCTGAGCCTCTCACTGTCTGAGCCTCTCACTGTCTGCTCCCTGTCTGAGCCTCTCACTGTCTGCACCCTGTCTGAGCCTCTCCCTGTCTGAGCCTCTCTCACTGTCTGCTCCCTGTCTGAGCCTCTCTCACTGGCTCAGCCCTGTCTGCTCCCTGTCTGAGCCTCTCTTACTGTCTGAGTCTCTCAATGTCTGTTGCCTGTCTGAGCCTCTCACTGTCTGCTCCCTGTCTGAGCCTGTCTCACTGTCTGCTCCCTGTCTGAGCCTCTCTCACTGGCTCATTCCTGTCTGAGCCTCTCTCACTATCTCAACCCTGTCTGCTCCCTGTCTGAGCTTCTCACTGTCTGCTCCCTGTCTGAGCCTTTCTCACTAGCTCATCCCTGTGTGCTCCCTGTCTGAGCTGCTCTCACATTTTTGAGACGACTCCAAGTCTTCACAGGATCTACTGTAAAGTGAATTGACAGTATATTTTGTGGGCAAAACACGGCAGCCAATTGTGCACAGCAGTGTCCCACAAACAACCGTGGATTTAGAGACCATTTTTTAAAAGGAATTATTACCCCTGGAAAAGCGATCCGCCAATCAACTAACAACTGGGTTCCTACTTACTGCTAGGTAAACAGAGGCCTGTGAATAAGGAAACTTGCCCAACATTCCCTGTCTGGGAATCAAACCCAGGTCTCTCACTTGCGAGACGAGCGCTCTAACCGCGGAGTTGTGTGACTTCACTGTCTGTTATTGCGCTGCTGTCAATGTTTGCAATTGCATATGTGTGTACATATATATGTTTCTGCTTTGCTTTCTGTGTATGTGACATAGGGCACAAAGAAACAATGAAAGGCGGGCAGAGTGCAGCCCTGCATCCTGGGGAACTTGCATTCTACATTACTGTCACCATCTCTTTGCACCTTTATGCCTTTCTGGAGCTCTACAAAGTCTCGAGAGGTAAGATGAGGCTAACTTTGAGAGCAGGTCCCAGCCATCAGGCGCTCTTGCTACTAACCTCCTCCAACTTCTTGTGCTGCTAACTTTCTTTCAATATTTGTGGAGTCCTGTAGCTCAGTGGTTAGAACACTCGCTTTGCAAGTGAGAGACCTGAGTTCAATTCCAGGCAGAGGGCGAAACCTTGGGCAAGTTTCCTTACTCCACACACCTAATAATAATCCCTCCAAAACCAAAAACAATAATAAATTGGTCATTTTCAATCTACGACTGTTTGTGGGACATTGCTGTGCGCAATTGGCTGCCGCGTTTGCCCACAAATATAGAATCAGTTCACTTTACAGTGTGTTCTGTGAAGCGCTTTGGGACGTCCTCCCGAGCTGAAAAGCGCTATATCAAATGCAAGGATTATTAATATAGCGGTATACACCTGGGTTCAGTTTTATCATGTGTCAACAATGAATTGCAGTTTATATAGCACCTTCTTCAAAGAAAAAGTCTTGAAGCGCTTTGCCGAGATGGAGTGAGAGCCCGAGTGGGGTGAGAATCAGAGGTTGGTGACGACTGCAGTTGAAGAGATACTGTAGATATTTTGGCATTTGTTCATACATACGCTGTTTTTTGACAATTAGAATAGGCTATTGTGGATGTTAATAGGCTGTTTCCACTTGTTGGTGAATCCATACATACATGCAGGTGCCCATGTGGAGTATAAATGCCGACATAGACTGGTTGGGCCCAATTGTCATGTTGAAAGGATGTCTCAAAGTGCTTGACAAGATTATAATAATAATAATAATCCTTGCATTTGATATAGCGCTTTTCACGTCGGGAGGACGTCCCAAAGCGCTTCACAGAACACACTGTAAAGTGAATTGACTATATGTTTGTGGGCGACCGCGGCAGCCAATTGCGCACAACAATGTCCCACAAACAGTCGTAGATTGAAAATGACCACTTTATTATTGTTTTTGGTTTTGGAGGGATTATTATTAGGCGTATGGAGTAAGGAAACTTGCCCAAGGTTTCGCCCTGCCTGGAATTGAACTCAGGTCTCTCGTTTGCAAAGCGAGCACTCTAACCACTGAGTTACACTGTAAATTCACTGTAAAGTATAATTCGAAGCGCTTTGAGACATCTCAACGACGTGATAAGGTGCTATATCAAACGCATAATTATTATAATAGCGGAGGACTTGTGGAGTCCTGTAGCTCAGTGGTTAGAGCACTTGCTTTGCAAGCGAGAGACCTGGGTTCGATTCCCGGCAGGTTGAAACCTTGGGCAAGTTTCCTTACTCCACACGCCTGATAATAATCTCTCAAGAAAAAGAAACAATAATAATTTGGTCACTTCAATCCACGACTGTTTGTGGGACATTACTGTGCGCAATTGGCTGCCGCGTTTCGCCCACAAATATACAGTCAATTCACTTTACAGTATATTCTGTGAAGCGCTTTGGGACGTCTAGAAGACGTGATAAGGCGCTTTGTCAAATGCAAGGATTATTATTATGATGACTGTGTTTGTTGGCCATTAATGAGGTGTGTGGTTCAGTAAATTGGCCACTGGCTGTAAGACTGGAATTAAATGAGCTAGGACCTCTTCACGTCATTTACGGGTGTAACCAGTGCTTTGTACAATAATTTCCTGGTATTCTGCCAGGTGAGCTTCAGTTCAAAGTGTTCAGTTCAAGAATTGTTTCAATAATGAATAGAAACCAAACATGGAGGTTATGCATGTTGTTTTGTTATTTTCCACTAGGGGATGATACAGACCAATTTATAGCATTTCTGATTTCTCTCAGGAATGCAACCGAGCTGCTTTAAGAATCAGTAAACTCTAGAGTATATTAAACATTTGTCAGTTTAGTTTAAAGTGTGCATAATTTTAGGGGAGTATCCACAAGATCGGTGAATCGTGATAAATCAATGGAAAGATCTGTATTTTTTGTGGAAACAAAACACAAGCTCACTATTTTCTGATATCACAATGAGCAGTTATGTTTTTGTTTTTGCAGCTGATAATGTGTGGTCATTGTAAACCAGCTGTGTGTAACCCCCATGGCAGATAACCATTATTCGTTTTTTTTAAGTTGAACTTCTTGTCATTGTATCTCAATTCATCCTTAAAGAGACATTTCAGAAGGGACCGTATTGGAGGTATATAAGAGCAGCATTATTAGGTTTAACGTTAACAAGCGAGGCATAGGATCAGGGTTGTTGTCAATAATAATAGTAATCCTTGCATTTGATATAGGGCCTTATCAAGTCTTTGAGACATCTCAAAGAGTTTCACATAATATACAGGTGTAACTAGATTCAATGTAAAGTGAATTGACTGAATTTTGTGCGGAAACGCGGCAGCCCATTGTGCACAGCAGTTTCCCACAAACAGTCATGGATTGAAGTGATCAATTTTTTTTTTGGAAAGTATTATTACCCCTGGAAAAGTGATCCGACAATTGACTAACAACCGGGTTCCTACTTACTGCTCGATAAACAGAGTAAGGAAGCTTGCCTAACATTTCGCGCTGCTGGGAATCAAACCAAGGTTTCTCGCTTGTGAGACAAGTGCTCTAACCACGGAGCTAAAGGACACCACAATAGTTGATTTCATACAGTAAAGAGTGAGCCACTCTTTGACCTTCTCCAACGTAGGCTTGAGTGATATCGTCAGACTAGGAGCATGTCTCACCATCCTCTCTGCCAGGGTGATCAAAACACACTTAGTTAGTCTTGCACCCAGAACAGCGGTAGGAGCCAAAGAGAGTAAAGTCAGCCTGGGCTTTCAGTTTTAGTCAAGATTTTGCGACTCCTTGCCCCACCTTCATTGGAGGTTTATGTGTGTGTGTGAGAGAGAGGACTGATGAGGTTTGCAACCAAGTGGCCCAGTAGTCTGCCGGCATTCACCGCCCTATGCCTCACACAATACATAATGATCATTTGGGCACGTGTAGGAGAGAGAAAACCGTGGACTGTGGAGCTGCCTCCAGTGGAAATAAACTGTTGTCAAATATCTTCAGGAGGGAGGGCATTGGTGAAGGGCAAAACTAAATACTAATTCCTGTTTTTTTTCCCCCCTTAATAAATACAATATTAGATTGCAAAGAATAATTGGAGTTTTGAGACTCCAATAATTGGAGTTTCTCAAGCTCTTTGAGATGTCTAGAAGATTTGAAAAGTGCAATATCAAATGCAAGGATTATTATTATTATAAATATGAATTTGCTTTGAAGAGTTGCTTAACTGCAAGTACACGTAAATAGATTCAATGCTTTTATAGCAGTTCTCACCTGACTCCCCCCCCCCCCCCACACACACACACATTGAAAGCTAGTTTTCAGTAGTTGTAGGTGATACCTGGTGATTTTTTTAACCAAATATACTGTCATCCACGCATGAATATTTGCTGTTGAAGGAGTGTATCATAGATTTCTGTTGTCTCTTACAACTATCACTGGTCTTCTCTTGCCTAGAATTGTCAGCTTTGGATAAGTGAAACCTTCCATGTTCCGGAAATTCACAGAAGGTCAAAGTAGACAGTGCTGTTTGGCTGCTTGCCACCAGCTGTACACTGTAATAAACATTTCTATTATTTCTGTTATGTATAGTAGACATAGCATTGTCCTGTCAATGTTCTGTGTTGCTAAAGTGGGTCAGTCTGAAAGAGGAGGCACCAAGTAGATAATGGTTCAGAAGTACGGTGACTTAAATAAGCAGCAATAGCAAATCCTTGGCATCAATGATGTCTAGTCAGTTCATCACAGTTGGGATCTAATGTGATATAAGTTTGGATGGTTGCATTCACATCTCTGAGTCAGAAGGTTGTGGGTTTGAGCCTGATGATGGAACTTTGAGTTCCCTATCTAGGCTGACACTCCAATTCAATGACAACAACTTGCATTTATATAGTGCTATTCATGTGGGGTAATGTCTCGGAGCACTTAAATTTGGTGCACAGAAGTGCTGCATTGCCTGATTTGCTGTTCTTCAGATCAGATATTAAACCGAGGCCCTGGTTAAAGCTGTCATGTCACCTTTCGAAAAGAAAGGAAATTTCTTCCAGTGTCTGGCCAACAGTTGCAAGATGAAAAGAAATTGGTCTTTCATTTCATGACACAGTGTTTGTGTGGGATATTGCTGTGCGCAAAGTGGCTACTGAGCTTCTCTACAAATACAGTAACTATACTTAATTTAGACACATGCCCTCCTCCATGAAGCCCATTGAGATGTTTGATGTGAAAGGTGCTATTGTCAAACACAAAGATTATTATTATTTATTTTAACCCAGAGTTTAATAATCCTTGCATTTGATATAGCGCTTTTCACGTCGGGAGGACGTCCCAAAGCGCTTCACAGAATAGACTGTAAAGTGAATTGACTGTATATTTGTGGGCGAACGCGGCAGCCAATTGCGCACAGCAATGTCCCACAAACAGTCGTAGATTGAAAATGACCAATTTTTTTTTTGTTTTTTTATTTTGGAGGGATTATTATTAGGCTCTGTGTGGAGTAAGGAAACTTGCCCAAGGTTTCGCCCTCTGCCTGGAATTGAACTCAGGTCTCTCGCTTGCAAAGCGAGTGCTCTAACCACTGAGCTACAGGACTCCACGAGTTCCCTCATGTTAGAATACTGATGATCTTGCTTTTCATTGCTGACAGAGTATGAAGATGACCTTGATGCTGAATTTGGATTTGAGAATGAATTCGTGATTTGGGGATTTAAGAAGGTATTGTAATGTCTATTATAATCATTTGTTCCTTTATGATAATGAATAAAATTCACAATTACTCCTTCTTCCCCAATTTCAAAAACCTCAGACTTATCGTTTTGACTGTGCTTGTAGCCACCTTTCCTCACCCCCCCAACCAACTGCCTGTTTGGGGCCCAGTCGAAAGTGTGAACTACTTTGAGACTACTGCCTCAACATGAAAGGATCTACAAACTGGTGTTGCTGATCCCTGCTATCATCTTCGAAAATCTCTGCTATACCATCCGCTTGGCAGGAAGATCTTTTATATTGGGATGCCCAAATCTGAATACATTACTTGAATTACAGCCTAAACCGCAGTATTGTGCCAGGGAAAGTATGCGGATGTAGCTTCAGATCCACAGAAATAGATGGAGCTGGGTTTTCTTAGTCTTGGTTGCAATTTAGAATGAAGGTTAGATCATAGTGTTTCCCAATGAGAAGCAGGAAAATAGGAAGCAGATATTCCTGATCTGCTGTTGTTCACAGTTAATGTTTGTGGAAACATGAGTGGTCAAGGCCTGAGAGTCTCTAACCATTTGGGCATATTGGAGAACTAACCCTGTACAACATTTTTCAGGATCCAACAGACTTTGAATGGAGCTTTTGGACAGAATGGGGAAGGAAGCTGTTATTGTGGATGCTGCTTGGCCACATCATTGCATCCCAAGTGACTGGTGCTTTTCTCCCAAAGGTTTGTAATATCCAATGAGACGTATGTCAACATATCGGCATTACTTTTACATTTGGGTAGGGAAAGGGGAGAGAAGGAATTCAAATCCAGATGTGCTTAAAAGGTAAAATTAGCATTACCACTAATTTTCAAACTTCTTTTAGAAAAGGGTGTTTTAAGTTAATTTCACATTGGCAGGAGTATAACTGAGTATAACCATTCAAATAGACTTGGGGGTGGCCTTGCTTGCATTAATGTTGCCAGGGATCAGTGCATAGTGCAAAAAATGTGGAAAGGTTCCAGGGACAAGTATTGTCTTCTACCTGTTTGCTTTGAATTCATTTTTATATGAAGTAACATGAAGTTTGTTTCTCTTCAGTTTAGGGTATGGTGTTTCATGTTATATGGAATGTTAGCCTGCTTATTTACAGTAGGACCTAAAGGCTTGGCAATGATGCTGTTGCATTTGTCCATCTCCTACGCTGTGGCCCAGCTTCAAGTCGCTGGGCTTTCTTGGCTGTGCTCAATACTACTTTTGTATACCTTGCAAATGGAATCTCTTGAAAAAATTCAGGTATGGACCTTAACCCATAGTTTATAGTAAAATAATAATATTTACATTGATAAAGCTGCTTTTCAAGCCTCAAACCATTTGATGATAATAACAATATGAATAATAAAAATAAAACTTACATTTGATACAACGTCTTTTATGTTGGGAGGATGTCTCAAAGCACTTCACGGGATTTATTGTATTGTGCAGTGACTGTGTTTGGTGGGCAAACGCGGGAGCCAACTTGCTCACAGCAAAGTCCTGCAAACAGCCATGAAGTGGTGTAGACAGCATTTTACGGACAACCATAAATTAAATTATTAAATTATTGTTTGGGTGATTTTGAAAGTTGAAATATTGAGGAGAGCTCAGTTTTTCTTACAAATAGTGCCAATGACCTGAACCATCAGAACACATAGGCACTGTCTCAGTTTACTGTCTCATCTGAAAAAAGGTCCTCAAATGTCATAGACAGGATTCTTGTTCTTCACTTTGAATATGTCTGAATTTCATTAGGTTCAACTAATCAACAAGATAACTTTACATTCTTGCTGTATCTAAATTTGAATTGAATAATAGTAATAATGATAATCCTTGCATTGCTTGTAATGTTGAGGATGTCTTAAAGTGCTTCAAAGATTTTGCAAATTGTAGCGACTGTATTTGTAGATGAACATAGCAGCCCAATTTGGCACATAAATATCCCTTTAGGAGTCCTGTAGCTTAGTGGCCTCGCAAGAGAGGGACTTGGGTTCGATTCCCAGCAGGGTGAAACCTTACTCCCCACCTCTGATAATAATTCCTCAAGAAAAAAAACAATAATAAAATTAGTCACTTCAATCCATGACTGATTGTGGGACACTGCTGTGCGCAATTGGCTGCCACATTTTGCCCACAAATATACATAAAAAAATATATAATATATATATAAAATATACAATCAATTCACTTCACAATATGTTTTGTGAAGCGGTTTGAGACATCTAGAAGACGTGAAAAGTGCTATATCAAATGCAAGGATTATTGTATATTATTTATATTATTGTATATTATTTATTTATCCCATGAAGTGAATATTCCAACCATGAAGTGAATGACCAATTTTATCTGAAGGTCTGTTGGCCAGGACATTCGGGGAAACTCCCATCTCTTTTTGAATAGTGGGAGCATCTGCCTGAACAGGCAGTGAGGACCACGGTTTAATTCCTCATCTGAAGGATGGCACCTCTGAGAATATAGCGCTCTTCCACCACTGCATTGGATTATCAGTTTGGACTGTGAAGAGACGAACACGTGGATAGGGAGAAAATTCCTTTTAGCTTTACTGTGCAAAAATGAATCTCCATAAAATAGCGATGAAATCATCTAGTTTTAATTGTATTGGAAACTATCTGTAAAGGCGATCATATCGAGAAACCTTTCAATGTGCCAAGCATATGTGTAGATCTGTCTTAGAAATCACCTTCAATTTGCTCAAGAACCACTAGGGTGAAATACTGCCATATCAAAAATTGCCATATCAGATATAAGTGTAGTTTGCAAACTCATCCGTCACTCTGACTATAAATGTGGCCTGCTGCTTTTGGAGGTCTGCATTATTTTACAGAATTACATTATTTTATAGAATGTTACAGCACTGAAACAGGCCATCCGGCCCAACCAGTCTGTACCGGTGTTCATGCTGCACTCGAGCCCCACCTATATTCTTACCTCTCATGTATGCATCAATTTTCCTGTTAAATATGTTGATGATTTTGCTTCAACCACAGCTTCTGGCAACGATTTTCACATTCTCACCACCGCTACATGAAGAAGTCCTTCCTAAACTCCTTTTTACACTTTTTTAAACTGTTGCCCAAGGGTTTGATTTGCTTATTATGTTTCAAGATATTTGCTTTGATTGGTGTTAAAGACTATTACTCTATTCAGTTTTAAAGGTAATTCAATTTCGATTTGTAGGATTGCTGAATCTGAAGTAACAATACAGCAGTTCATTGGCAAAGTTGTAGTTTTATTAATGACTCTTTAGAGCTTTTGGTTTTTCGAGTGGTCCTTGAATTTTATTGAAAGTTAGCATCCAGATGCAATATCACTTCTCCAGTGAATAAGATAAATGAACTCAAAATCTAATTAGTGCGGCAAAAAAGTATTTTCATAAGAAATAATTGTACAAGGAAGGTAGAGATGCTTTGAAGAGCTGTCAGGTCTACTTATTTCCCTGTAGACAATTTCCAACTGTTGCGTGCCAGCTCTGTGATCATTTATGAATTTCGGCTCCCGCTCCTCACAATCGTATACCCAAGCGATTCTTTTGAACCATTACCGAACTTTCTACTGGAGTTCCCTTTATAGATGTTGATCACAGGTTTATACGCAGTGGAAGAGTTAGCAGTTTGTTTTTTGTCTCTCTCATTGTTCGTTACTTCCATGTTCTCTTTACAACCCTTACCTACCAGGGTAGATCCAAAGTAATATAATTTTGATTTCCCCATTATCATTTGTTCAGTTTTGAGTGTTATTCAGTCACTTTTTTCCCCACCTCCTGATATATAAAACTACCCTATACCACCAGGAAGGGTTCTTTACTTAATGATGGTTTGGCCAAAATGTTCATCAACCACTGATGTTGACACTCAGGGAAATTTCTCCCAAGTTCAGAAAGTTCTGATCCCTTAAGAACATAAGAACATAAGAAATGCTAGACGAAAAAAAGATCCATCTAGTTCACCTTCCACCTTCCTGGTGGTCACATGCATATATGTCCCAAACTACCTATGTACTATATGCAAGGATTATTATTATCTAATCTGTGTTTGAAACAATCAACACTTCCTGCTTCAAACGTCTCCCTAGGGAGCTTGTTCCACTGGTTTACTATTTGCTTGCTGCATTCTTATAGTTTATTGTTGCTGGCATAGCCTTTGAACAGACCACAGAATCTTGTGTGATACTCATTGATGGGTTGCGCTGCTGTGATCAGCCTTTCTGGCACATGTAGTTCCCTATTTGGTGCCTTTCTGTTGCAATGTGATAGATGGACATTGTTTGCTTGCTCCAAGGGCTCAGAAACATGCACAATACAGATACAAATCCTCGACTGTCCAACACCTTGGGATGTCCTCCCATCGTGAAAGGCGCTATATAAATGCAGTTTGTTATTGTGTAGTTGATATTTGAATTAAATTTTTGACACCTCATCCAATGATTTTTACGCCTCTTTCTCTCTCCTCCCCTCCAACCCGATTGAGTTATGCATAGCCCGTGCTAATGTATGTGGAAAATGAGCAACATTGAAAGAATGAGGAAGGTCATAGCAAGTGCAGTGAAATGTAGGAAAGATTTGCAGACTGTGACCACCAAAGTTTGTGTAATATTATCCAGGCTAGCAGTTGAAAACTTGACATGTTGTAATAAACACATAAAAAAAACACTCTTAATCCCTGAAAAGACAAGGGATATATTTATCATTTAACATAAGTGCAATATGTTGGGTGTATAAACATTTTTTTTCAAATTAATAAAATTATGGGTTCAATCTTAGATCGAATTGCTGCTTGGGTGTGCAATAGTTAGCCTTCATAATGTAGAAATATGATACCATCTTTAGATGTATTGTGTCAACACATAGTTTAGAATCAATTCTGGCAGAATGCCATGCTTGTATATGAAGGAGAATGAGAATACTACCGTTGTGTACACAAGCCCGTTAGCCCAATGTGTTTCTCTGAAGGCACCTTAAATTCTAGATATGCTTTGCTCATATTTCATGCTAAATAAAGAGAAATGGTTAGAAACTATCGCGAGGGTTCTTGTTTTGACACTAATAATATTCAAACTTCAGATCATTAAATCTATTTTCACAGACTGCCCTTAGCATAATAATAAACTGTTTGACTCTAATTTAGTTTTCTAGTCCCAATAGTAAATTGTTACTATTCGATCGTTGCAGTGTGAATATGCCTGCAGCAACTCGTGTTAAAATGGCACCATGCAGGGAACAATTTAATTTACAAAAGGGGAAAAAACAGGACACTGCTTTTCAACACAGTAGGTAAGTTTGGAAATGAGATGAGGTAGTGCAGGTTTTCACAATCAAACCAGATCATTGAAAGCATGTAGGAAATAGTCCATTCTCATTAAATGGAAGTGTCTCTTACTTTACTTGCCTATTGCTTTACACATTGTTTATATCTATTCACAGCGCACCTTTATAATTTAGCTGAGTTTAGCCCAGTGGTCTTACATTTTCCGTAGCACCTTGCTAACATCTGTCTTTTGGCACATGTAAGTCCATTTATTTCATGAATCTGACCAGTTGAGAGAAATTCTGAACACTTATGTTTGGTAATGCTGTTGCTTTGAAGAAATAACAAAATGATACTTTCTTCTCTACTTTAGAAACGCTGGTATGCGACTGAGAGTGAATATTATCTGCTTTTGTTCTGCTTGGCTCTTTGCAATCTGCGTTATACAAGTTTCAGTCTGGAGTACTGCTGGCACCACACAAGTCTTCATAGGCGCTGCATGTCCTACTGTTGGCTGCTGGCTTACGTGTTCTACTACCCTGTATTTCACAATGGACCAGTCATATGTTACGATGACTTCAGTAATCAGGTGAGTTAGTCCAATTTCACTTTTATAGAGTAATAATAATAATCCTTGCATTTGATGTATATATATACATCTTTGAGACGTCTCAAAGCGCTTCACAGGATGTACTGTAAAGTGAATTGACTGTGTCTTTTGTGGGCAAAACGCAGCAGCCAATTGTGTGTAGCAATATCCTACGAACAGCCGTGGAGTGAGTACCAATTTTATTTGGGGGGTTGTTAGCCAGAACACCAGGAGAAACTACCTTCTCTTTTTGAATGGTGCCATGAGTGCTAAGAGCCGAAACCCTCATACGATCATTCAACAGCAACAACAACAACTTGCACTTATATAGCTCCCACCAAACACAGGATAGTGTTTCAAAATGTGTAACAGTGGCGGAGCCTGATTCCGAGCCAGGGGGAGGGGGGAAGTGGCCGTAAGCACTGTCGAACAGGAAAGTTTTTGGCAGGACTTGAAAGAGGGGAGAGAGGGGGTAAGACGGAGGGATTGAGGGAGAGTGTTCACCTCAAGGCTCGACTACGGAAACTCCATCCTTGTCGGCCTCCCAAACTCTTCCCTTCACAAGCAGCAGTTCATCCAGAACTCTGCAGCTCGTGTCCTCTCCCGCACCAGGCTCCGTGACCCCATCACCCCCACCCTCACCCCATCCCTCAGAGGATAGAATTCAAAATCTTCGTCCTCACTTTCAAGGCCCTCCACAGGCTTGCCCCTTCTTACCTCTCTGACCTGATAACCCTGTATCAACCTCTCCATGCAGCAGGCTATAGCCTGCTCCATATCTCCCGCTCGACCTGCCCTACCATCGGTAGCCTCTCTGCCCCCACCCTTTGGAACTCCATCCCACAATCCCTTCACCTTCCTCCCTCCTTTGCCTCCTTCAAGGTACAACTGAAGACCCTCCTTTTCGACCGTGCCTTCACCCGTCCTCCTACCTCTCTGCCCTCCCTCATCCCAACCCTGTGCCCCCCACGGTCGGGTCCTGATCCCTGACTGTTCAGCGCCTTGGAAAGTCCTCCCGACGTGAAAGGGGCATTATAAATGTAATTTTGTTGTTGCAATGGGATCTTTAATCTGAACAGGAGAATGGAGAAACCTTTAGCCTGTTAAATGATTTCTCATAATAAGAATCTTTGTTTTTTTTAATACGTGAAGCCACTTCATGGCTTTATGCGGGATGTGGCTGTGCATAAATTGGTTGCTGTGTTTGCCCACAAATAAACAATCACAGTACCTCACAGAAAATCCATTGAAGGCACTTTGTGACATTTTGAGGACACGATAAGGCACTGTATGTCATGTAAGGATAATTACCTCAAATTAATTTCTGTCACTGGGAGGTCTAAGGTCCTTTCCTACAGAAGTTGTACATGCTTTAGTTTGGGATGGACAGTAATAGTTTACACTTGGAACTGCATACAGTGTGAATTCTGTGCCATTACTGATCAAATGTGGGGAAATTAAACTTTGGTACAAATGTAGCTTCTGTATGACTTTGCAGAAGACTTTCTTATTTCAGAATTATTACTATTTCACATGAATAGAACTCAGAAAAAATGTATAATTCCCTTCTGGTGTGAACACCATACTCTTATTTAGCCCACTCCATAGAGAATAACCACAACAATTTGATAAGTCGAATTTTTTGTCTAATTTGTGCATAGCACCAGAACTTGCAGAACTTGTGAGTGATGGGTCTTTTACACTTGAAAGAATTTCCATAGTCAACAATCTCTTGTGAATTATCTTACATTCTGTGGTTGTGAACATTAACTTCACTGTTCAGTGAAGTGATCATTTACATTCATGAGAGCAAAATGTTTTGTGCTAAGCTGCCAATGAAAGTCCATTACGAATAGCATTAACATTTACTTAACAGTTATTTGTTTCACTATCATTCATTGCTTTTTAGTTAATAAATGAAGGAGCTGTGTTAGTTATGGAAGGTGGGAGGTTCGTAAATGCAGGACTGGATGTTAAAACAACAATTTGCAATTTCTAGCACCCTTCATGTAAGGTAGTGTCTTGGAGTGTTAAAAGAACGAGTTGTATAATTGAGAGCAAAATATCATGGAATATGTACATGCAGAATCTGAGTTGTCATTGTGCAAACTGAATAAAATCCAATCCCTAAAGATACTTTCCTCCCAACCCCACATGCCCTACATCAATAACTCTCGAATCGTTTATGTTTTGTTTTCTGGAATGAAGATTAAGGGCATTTTAAAATATTTTGGTTAAATACTTAAACAACTTGTTACCATTATGTCGTATTGATTTGCCATCAGTTATAATTATGGCCCAATTACTATGAAGTGCCAGGAATATAGGCATGAGCAGTTAATAATAATAAAAATTAATAAGTGAATTCAAAGTTGTGACCTCGGGCTTGAACGCACAACCTTCGGAGGGTTTAGCGGATATTCTGTGAGAGAAACCTTCCAGTGTAAAGTGATCAATGCAGAACCGAATCATTTCCGTAGCTGCCACATTACTAATGTTCTGAATGGATGGTACTTGATTCCTGGTAGTAACTTATAATATTTTTGCCGTGCGTGTACTTGGTCTTTGGTACGCATTGGCAAGAAATGCAGGTTCTTGAAATAAATATTTCAACCACTGACAGGAGTCGTACATCACCTTTTCATCATCCTTCTATCTTGTTGCAAAGTCTTCTCATGTCAGGCTAATTCACATTAATTGGAGGGATTGGGCAAGAGTGGTATACCATACCTCAGGTCATACATACTATTGAGCAGTAAAAATACAGTTTGTGGAGTTATCTTAAATGGGCAAATTGAGTGGAACTATAATGTGAAGTGTTTCATCAAGCATGCCACTAACCTAGGGGAATAGATTTCTATGGGTTGCATCCCCGAAAGCACCCTCATTATGGTTATGTCTGTTGTTAAATTGTAAAGTTCTGTGTAATTCTTAATTTCTTAATTAAGATTGAATGAAGTTTGAGAAGCAATTTAATAGTGCGATAACTCCCTTCCACCCTGTACGATAGAACATACTTCTCTTTATATTGCATTCTCTTGCTTTGCCTTTGTGACGGCATAAATTAAACAAAGGAAAACAGCCTTAATTCTTGCTTTACCTCTGGTAACAACATCAACTGCTATCAGCAAGGCAAATATCTGCCTCCGGGTTTGCAGGCTCCTTTGTCTGCCTTTGGCCCTGGACAGATTGAGATCAAGTAAGTTCTATGAGCCAGGAAATAAAACAAGTCACAACTCAATGGAAACTGTGCATTCTCAAGAAGTACCCTAACGCAACGTGCAGTCGTAGCTGGACAAGCAGTGGGACTGCTTGCCAGGCATGCTCTCAATGGCAAGCTATGTGGTTTTAACTGGTTAGACTCCAGCAGTTACCCTCATACACACTCTGAAGTCCACAAGCCTTGGCTCTTGCCAACCTGCGCCTAATATTTTTCTGAATTAGGTTGATGGTTTTCCGCATGTGTCAGACACCTGGCTGCACTGACAAACTCAGACTACCATTTGAAACCCATTCTCAAGTTGTCTGCAGGCTGAACGCAGTATCAGAAAGTCTCCTGTGCATTGAGTTTAATCGGGCCACAATGAGGAATGATCCATTTTTGAGTGAAAATGAGAGAGAATAAGGCAGTGGAGAGGAGAAGTGACATCTTTGAAGCAGAGAACTGGAAATGGAGGAGAGCAATGAAATCAAAGTCTTCAAGTGGGTGGTTGACTCTCAAGGGCACTGAATGCTTGGCAAGATGGTAATCAACATTTGCACTTGATGTGTTTGAAACGGTTGCTTCTTTGACACAAAAGCTCAGATGCAAGAGATGGAGGAGGAGGGGTGTTACTGTCACAGAACTTTGAATTGACAGATGAACAAGAAAGCACATGCCCTGTGGCGATTATTTTCTTGCAAGGAGATAGACAAAGCAAATGTCCAACTTTAGCAGCTCACATCTTTTGAGTGAATGTTAAAATAGCCTTTTCGATGGTGACAAGGATTCTACATCATGTATAAGGAAGAATGTTAGTTGTTGTAAAAGTTACACTATCTACGTTATTATAACCTTGCAACAAGGCAGAATAATTAGGGATTCTTTTGGATGAAGCTCGAAGCTGGAGTATTTTTAGTCTTTCTGTTTGCTACCTTATTTTATAAACCAGGAACTTGCCTGGAAGTAATAACAGTAATGGAATTAAACTGCGTGATGTCTGGATACTTGACATTTTATCAGTAAATTGCTGCGAGTTTTCCATGTTGTATCAACTGGGGCTAAGTCAGCTTGAGTAGGTGATTTCTTGAGCAGTGCGATTCGCACCTCAACGGTACAAATGTGTCACAAAAGGATTATCTTGCGTTTTGCTGTAAAATACTGTGTACGCATTAGAAAATGGAAACCTGAATAGTAGTGGATGCAAAAGGTTGATTAGGTTAGAAGAGAGAGGGAAAAAGTTGTGTGAAATTGACAAACATACAGTAATTTCTGAAGCAGTATATTTTTCGAGTGTCAGTCTAGCTCAGTTGGTTGCACCCTTGTCCGAGTCAGAAGGTTGTGGGCTCAAGTCCCCATGTCGGAACTTGGAATTCATATAATCTAGGATGACACTCCATTTGGGGATGTGCTGCATTGTCAGAGGTGCTGTCCTTTGGATGAGATGTTAAACCAAGATCCATCTACCTTTTCAGGTGGACATTAAAGATCCCATGGTACTCTTCATAAAGAGATGAGAATTTCTCCCAGTGTCCTGGCCCTCAAATAAATTCATTCACTTCATGGCTGTCTGCGAGACATTGCTGTATGCAAATTGGCTGCAACATTCATCCACAAAGTACACAGTCACTCCACTTTACAGAACATGTTGTGAAGTACTTTGGAGCATTGTCCTGAGGCGCTGTTTCAAATGCAAGGATGGTTATTTTATCTGTAAAATGTATTGACTTTTTCTCTCTTTTCATATGTATATAAAAATCAGATTCGAAGAGCCGAGACATTTGCTCCGAAACCTGACGTCTTGTTCCTATTGCTGCGTGTAGTGCGTATTTTCATCTGGTGGTGGCTGATAGAGTCCATGCTCCAGCTAATGTACATTCATGCCATTCAACATCAAGAAGCAATTCTGGAATCTGCCTCCAATTGGACTTTGGGTTAGTATGGTATTATTTTTTGCAGCAATCTTAAGGAAAAGGGAAAATATTGACTGCATTCACTGTGCTGTAAGCTTGGAAAAAAAGATTTCTTAGGTCGACCTGCCTACCACTTGTCCTCCCACCTCAACCTTCAAGGCCCTGTCCTTGAATGGTTTAGGTCGTACCTCTCCCACCGTCTTCATTTTGTTTCCCCAAATGACTTTTTCTCCAGCCCCCGCACTGTCTCGTGCGGTGTCCCTCAGGGCTCTGTCTTCGGTCCCCTCCTCTTCACCCTCTATATGCTCCCCCTTGGTGACATCATCCGCAGACATGGGGTTAACTTCCACATGTATCCGGATGACACCCAACTCTACCTTTCCTCCTCTACCCTCAACTCCACGACCACCGATGTCCTGACAGCTGCCTGTCTGACGTTGAGTCCTGGACGAGAGACAACTTTCTTCAGCTCAACGTGCGCAAAACTGAGGCCCTCCTGATTGGCTCGCGTCAGCGCCTCCGCACCTCAGGCGCTGACAGCATCAGCATCCAAGGCTGCACTCTCCACCTCTCAAAGCCAGTCAGGAACCTCGATGTTCTGTTCGACCCTGAGCTGTCCTTTCTTCCTCATATCCGCGCCACAACTGGCACCGCCTTCCATCACCTCTGAAACATCGCCAGACTACGGCACTGCCTCACCCCTCACGCTGCTGAAACTCTGGTCCACGCCTTTATCACCTTGAGGCTGGACTATGGGAACTCTCTCCTCGCCGGCCTTCCTGCACCTCCCTCCACAAGCTGCAGGTCATTCAGAACTCTGCAGCTCGTGTACTGTCCCGCACCAGGCTTCGCGACCACATCACTCCCACCCTCGCTCGCCTCCACTGGCTCCCCATCCCCCAGAGGATCGAATTCAAGATCCTCATCCTCACCTACAAGGCCATTCACGGCCTTGCTCCCTCCTACCTCTCCGACCTACTATCCCCTACTTACCTGCCCATACCCTCCGTTCCTCTGGCTCCGGTCTGCTCCACATCCCCCGCCCCAACCGCCCTACCATCGGTGGCGGGCTTCAGCCTCTCAGCCCCTAGGCTCTGGAACTCCATCCCCCAGTGCCTTCGCCTTGCTTCCTCCCTTTCCTACTTCAAGGCCGGTCTCAAGACCTTTCTCTTTGACCGTGCCTTCAGCTCCCCTCTCGACTCTCTACCCCCTCCTCACTCCCTCTCTTCCCTCCCCTCACCCTGACCATTTTCCCCCTGCTCGGGTCCTGACCCAACTGTACAGCACCTCGGGACGTCCTCCCGACATGAAAGGCGCTCTATAAATGAAATCTTGTTGTCTTGTTGTTGAGGTGAGCGCTCCAACCGATACTATCACGGCAGGCTGTCTATAGGACTGTCTGACTCAGATAATAATAACCCCTGTCATCAAACAAACCACTGACAGTTGTAGTTTCATTTTTAAAATGAACCGAGGCTTCCCAAGGGCTTTATGCAAGCTCCAAATTAAAAATCAATAGCAATTTTTTTTGTACGATAAGTATTGGCTAGTGCGTTATCTGAATACTCTCCTCTTACACTTTGCAGTGCTTCGGTATTCTTCATTCTTTTTTCTCTTTTCAAACTTATTTTCCACCTTTTCTCTCTTTTATTCTCCCTTCCAAGACCTTTCTGAGTGGGAGTTTGATCATTGTTTTTCATGTCTGCTAGCATTCCTTCTTACCATGCCTAGGCATGATAATTTGAATAAGTGGGTTGGAATTGCTACTTAACAATAAGCCAAATTGATTTTTATTTTAAATACATGATTTGAAATGCCACTGAAGGTCAGAACATAAACAATTAACTGAACGCATAGTGTTGGGTAGCAATTACTCTGTTGCATTGAAATACACCCCTATTTCAGCAACCAGAAGTATAGGAGAAGAGGAGTGAATGAGAATAAGCAATTACACTATTACCCAAGCCCTTTTAATGTGAATCGGCATTGTTGTGTAATAATACTGTTGTACTGAAGTTTCAGTCCCTGTCATAAATGCACCATGAAAAATTCCTGTAGAGGCGAGGTCTCATTCTTTACAATGAAGGTAAAAGGGAGAGCCCATGGGTCCGTGGATCTCAAGCTGGTACAGAGTTGTGAGTATTGGAGGAGGCAATGGGAGGTTAGGGAATTAATAATGGAATGCAGACAGCGTTCGGTAACAAATAACTTGAACTTTATTCAGAACAAAAACATACAATGTTAGGGACATGACTTTCCCTATTTGCTTTGCACCCAGATTCACATTGGAGCTGGCACTAAACCCACTTAATAGGCATCAGCTCACTACTTGAACACAGGTTGTCTCTGTGTCAGCATGATGCATGTGAGATCATCTTCAGCTTTTGGGTTATATAGGAGAATGAACTCACAGGCTGGCTATCTGCGTGTTCACTTAATCACATCAGCCTCAAATCTGGAAGTGAATGCAATACTGGCAAAAAAATAATGATTGTGTGCATGTACATATTGTTTCCGGGATCACGATTTAATCACACAGTATATAACAAAAGGTTTATTTAGCAATCTGTTACAGGTTCAATGTAGGTTTAGTGACAAAGAGACATTCAGAGAGAAAATTAGACAGCAACAAAGTCTGGGAGAAGGGGAGGGGGTGACACATTGTGGTGCTATTGTAGTAGCATAACTCCTAATGGAATAATTTTTGGTCAACCAGTTTGTATTTTGCATGATGTCTATCTACACTGTTTCCTTGTCCACGATGGAGCCAGTACTAATCAGAGCGGATAACTGTCTGTCTACAAGAACAGGTTGCTTGTATATAGCGCCCTTCACGCAGGGTAGCTTCCTGTAGCGCTCTACAATACTGAATTGAATCTCCAGAAGTCCATCAGTGGAATAAGTGGGGCTGAAGACAACCATGCAGTAGAACACTTTTGTCAGATGAGGGCACTGCTCTTCTGATGAAATGGTGCAAGTATAGTGTTTTCTGATGTGTTATTTCAGAAACTTAACCGTGAGGCGGAGGTTCACTGAAGTGTTGTGTTTTTTCGTATTTCACATTATTATATGTCTTTTTTCACGTACAGGCCCAAAATACATTTATTTTATTTTAAAATACATTTATTTTATTTTAAAATAAATTTATTTTATTTTGGATTGTGTGAAGTTTGGGCATGTAAGAATTAACTGCCGACCATAAAACTGGGAAGTAGAGGGTTTAACTTAGTAACTCCATGGCAAAGGGTAGCAATGGCCATATCAATGCAATGGTGAGAAAATAACAGGTTTGAACCGTTAATACCTTATAATACAACATAATTTACGTTGATATGGTGCCTTTCACGTTGGGAGAATTCTTAAAGCACTTAAAAATGGTAATGAGAAATTGCTGTAAATGGCTGACCCTGTTTTGGAAATCCAATCATTTGGTGACTTTATAAGAATATTGTGAGTTTGTTCCTAGTGTGGAGCTTTATGTAGTTACACACAAATGAAAGGCTTTCACCACCATTCTGATGACACAATTCTTGGACGAATGTAAATTAATGCATCACAAAGTTTTGTGTGAGAAATCTTTGGCTGAGCTGTTATAGTGCTGCGTTGACTCATAACCCAGGATGTTTTGGAATGAGATGCATGACATTGTACATTCTAGTGATTGAATAAATGAAACAGATTATAGGAAGAAATTAGGCAGAATGTCATGTGCGACAAATAAAGGGTGAAATGCAAAAAAAAATCCTTCGTGTATGTTGAAGATAAAAGACAACAATGTGCAAATTCCAGTCAGGCAAGTGATCCTACATGTTTGAAGTCAGTAATGCTAGCATTATATACTGGATAAGAATGCAGCTAACATCACACACTGAACAGAGAATGCTGCCAATTTTAGCAATGATGGGAAGCCACTTATTCTAGAGAACAAAGGAAGAGCGACCAGCAATAAAAGCAAGGCAGTCTACATTCAAATGATTGAATTAACAAAACTGACATTATAGGAAGAAATTGGGCAGAATGTCACGTTCAACAACACGGGGAGATAAAGAGGATGTGCAAAAAATCCCTTCCCATCCCTTCCCCCGTCCTTTTCTGAAAGGCGCTATATAAATGCAAAGTATGGAGAGAGTGCAAAGGCTGAGAGCATTCTGTGGGTATTTGAGAGAGGTTTGGGGATAGAATGTGTCTTAAGAGTATCAAGGAATGGGATGGATTTCCACCCATTCAGATAAGCTATTTTTATTCCATTATGAAAGAAGAATGAAATCAAGTGGATCAATTACAGGAACGTTCTCGTGCATGCTAACTAAATACCCAATTTATAATTATCTTCACGTGTTTATGTTCAGGCTTATCCTAAAATAAGACAAAAATGTGCAGTAAGATAGAGAAAGGCAGGATTGCCTCCATGCTTCAAAGCAAAGAAAGAAGGAACTAATTTAACCATCACTTATAACCACGGCCAGCATTTGGTTTTCTTCGATATGTACTACTGTGGAAAATGGTTATTTTTCTAAGGTTCCCATTGTATCTTAACAATAATAATAATCATAATAATAATCCCTGTATTTGGGTGTAGTACCTTTTATGTCAGGAGGATGTCTCAAATCACTAAACAGGATTTACTATAGTATAGTGACTGTGTATTTTGTAGGAAATGCAGCAGACAATTTGCAAACGGCAATGTCACCCAAACAGCCATGAAGTGAATGACTAATTTTACGCGGGAGGTTGTTGTCCAGAGTAAATTGGTGATATTTTACTCTTCAAAAATCTCAATTTGTGAGACTAATATTACAGTTCTATTACAAGGTACCCCAGTAGTACTACAGTTCAGTTTAAAATAATGCCTGCCCGCCTTTCCTGCCTCATATGAGCTTATACAACAGTATTTTGTTTGTGCTAGTCTTATGAAGCAAATGAACGCAACAATTTCAATTCAGTTGCAGAATAAAAAAAACCTAGCTAACCTAAACACAGGCATTATGACAATGGGGGAGCTCTATCCATTGAGTATCGTTTTTCTTACGAATTGTACAATTTGGTTCAACTGGTTGGCTTTGGAAACTCCATCCTAGAGTCCCTCCGGTTTACTTGCTCCCTCCCTCCTCTCGTTCAAGGCCCATCTCGAAATGTGCCTCTTTGACCGGCTTTAAGTCATCTTTCTTTTGCTCACCCCACCTTGGCTCTCATTCCCAGCTCAGGTGTCCAGCCAACATTGTCGAGCACTTTGAGACGTCCTCCCAATGTGAAAGACGCAATATAATTGTAAATTGTATTGTGTATCAATTTTGTATTTGCCTTAACGTATTGTTTAAAATATAAAGTGTAGCTGTATTCATTGGTTTATTTGATATGACCACTATTGAAGTAACAGCTTCCCTCTCAATCATACACCCTAAAAAAATCTCGAGTTCTTTCTTTTTTTAACATTCTGAAGTGGCCATCCAAGAATCTTATTCAAAACCTCGAGTTTTATAATAAAACTTATAATCTGGGAGGGGACAGGAATCTTGTTCACTTGATTTTACACCCTATGCTCTCACAATGGTGCACTTTTCACTCAACCCGGCTGTTGAAATTGTCCAAAAGCAATAAATACTGGGGAAAACAATCTTATGCCTTGGAATTTGTTCCCAAGTCTATTGGGAATTATTTCTAAAAGGTAAGTCTTTACTAAATGTGTTTGTGTATATGAGAATAATCATTGTTGCTTTTAATGTAATGCCTCATCACATTGTTGAGATCTCAAAGCCCCTCACAGGATTTCACTGAAGTGTAGTGACCGTGCATTTCTAGGCAATGAGAATTTATTCAGATTAACACATTTCACTGTGCAGCAGTAAGGCATTATTTTTCACCATTACCGTATTATTTCTGTATATGTAGGTAGTTTGCAAGGGTTAAAGTTTTGTAAAATTCCTATTAATAACATTTTAATAAAATATTTTATATTATATAATTGTATATATTAAGAAGTTTTTTTGTTTCCTTAGGTGGCCTTGGATTTGCTCATACCCTGTTTTTTTATCTGAAATACCTGGTACTTTATGGCATTCCGTCATTTGTCATGCACACGGATGGCCTTGAGGCACCCCGATTGCCGAGATGTACTAGCAGCTTGTACAGCTTTACCGGAACGTGGCGGTAAGTAGAGGGAATGTTTTGTTGAAGGAAAGACCAAGTGCGATGCTTGTGAAAACATTTGTATATGTGTCCATGTAATCTATTGTGTTGTGATTTCTATTATTTTGTTGATTTTTAGCCTGTGCCGTTTCACAAAGTTGAGTATTAGGGCAGTATTTTAGAGCAGAGCCCTCTCAAGGTGGTTTCAATTTGCCAAATGTCCTATCTACACATGGTTATTTCATTAAAAACCGAATCGGCTGTATTGATGTTACAAAAATGCAATATTAACCCTAGTTTTAAAAAAACAGTCAAAACCTGGAGAACAACATGGTGAGTTAGAGTTGATGTGTTGTCTGGAAGTTTTTGAGCAGGAAATTTAGGTGTTCTGCTACGCAAACACAGGCACACAATTTCATGCTTTGTGGTTCTGGTCATGGTAACAGCAATAATTCTTGCATTTGATGTAACGCCTTATCACGACTTGAAGACATCTCAAACCGCTTCACAGAATATACTGTAAAATGAATTGACTGTATATTTTGTGGGCGAAAAGCGGCAGCCAATCGAGCATCAACTGATATCAGGCAAATGAATTGGCATAACTGGACAACAGCCACTTGGCCTCTGAGCACCGACTCTAGTCTTCCTTATTATGGCAGTCAACTGTGGAGAATGGGAGGAAGAATTCCTAAAGAAGAATAGCAACTTAGCACTGGTCCAGAGCCTTTCATATAGGATAGCATTTCTAAGCTCTTTACACACTTTTATGGGGAATCACTGAGAGGGGCTGGAAGGAGAGGTGCTTTGAGGACAGTGACCAAAAGCGTGATCATAGAAGCTTCAACAAGTGTTTTAAAGGCCGTAATGTTGAGCAAGGTTGAATATTTTCCAACCTCCGCCTCCCCCATAAACACAGCTCTAAAAATAAATACGGCTGCTGAAGACTGCCATAAGCATTGATGAATGATTTAAAAGCAGGCTGTAAGAGAGTGGATGAACTGTGAAAATGACCCCAGATGCAATTGGATTCAGTGCCTTGAATATGCTGAGAGAGGAGACTGTCCCATCCAGCTAAATTCCTAAATTTAGTAAGCATGTTTATGTAATGGTAGTGACCGCTGCCAAATGTAATGAGCATCTGTTGATTGCCATTCATATGTACATTGGGGTGAGAAGAAGTGCTTTGAAATATTACCTTTGTTTGTGCAGCACATATGCTGCACAACTGCCGATGTGATCTGCACTGCAAAATTATACTTTAAGGCACAAAGATGTTTATTTTAAAAAACATAAAACCTTCATATACTTCGCAATTTGTGACCAGATTTCATGTGGTTTTGCCCAGATGATTCTCTTACAACCGAGATCACTTCAGTGGACTCATAAAATCACTGTTGATGTGACAAATAGATGGAGGTCCTACAGGATCCATGTGAGATACAAATAACGATAAGTCAAAAATGAATCCTTCAGTCAAACACTCCTACAATGGCAGGGGAACTCATGGGTGGAAAAAAAATCCAATGAGCCTTGATCAACCATGTTTCAGCAATCTGTTGAACAACCTCAAGCTTTCACATCACAGATGTGGTTAAGGAGTCATTCAAATAGGTTGGTAATTTTGTCAGTCTGCTATTTGTTACTGTGCTCTCTCTGGCTGAGCTCAGGGATGCTCACTATCATACCTCTTTTAAGTTAACTGATGGAAAAGCTGCCAGAATGGGAGCCTATAGCCTTCTGCACCATTTCAATCTGAGGAACAGATTTCTACAGGGACTCCAAAGTGGTCATGTGTCCTCCCAAATTTTCACTGCAGTCAGTGAATGCTGAAGTAACACAGCCAGTGCTGATACACAGTTAGCCTTTTGTCAGCCTGGCTCATTTGGCAGCACTCTTGCCTCTGAGGTAGAAGTTTGTAGGTTTGAGTCCCATGTCAGGACTTTGGACTCATATAGTTTAGGCTGACGCTCCAATACATTGCTGCAGGAAGTCTGCATTATTGGCTTTTGTTGGCCATTTACCTGTTCAGGTGGAATAATAATAATGTATAATATAATAATATAATATAAATAATATTATTATTATAAAGAAGGCACTATTGGAGAACATTCACTCCAACCCCTGACTCCCCCAAGTGTCCTAGCCAATAATTCCTTCAATAAAATTTCACTTCATGGCTGCTTCTGGGATTTTGTTGAGTGCAAATTGGTTGCCATGTTTGCTTATAAATAGTCAGTATGCCTTGTAGAAATTTTGTGAAGTATTTTGAGATATTCTTATTGATATGTCAAATGCAATATTTACCTCTTTATTTAAGTGTGAGCTTTCTACTGAAATTCCCTCCCCCATGTTTTAGGAAAAAGTTAAATGGTATTAATGCAGTTAAAGAACACTAGAGAGATTATTTTAAAAAGAAGTAAAAAAATGTAGAAAATTCATATATAATCAGAATAGGAAAAATGGGAGATCAGCAAAGAGAGTGAAAAGTGCAAAATGAAAAATCACCAAGGAAATATCCCTGGATATAAGAGGAAAGAAATCAAGTCAAGAGAGAAAAGTGAAGTCGAAGTTTTGGTTTTAGGGGATAATGTACTGAATGAGAGAGAGAGAGACATTTAGTGTAATAGACCTTTCCCTCCATTGGCTATGTTCACTTTACTCTATAATGGACTCTGCCCATTAATCTCTCGAGAGAAGATTATTATGGTTCTTCCCTGCACCTTAAACTTAATTGGTTGGAACTCCAGAATATCTATGAATATCTTGTCAAATTTTGCAAATAGCCAACAGGATATAACAGAGTTGTATCCTGTGTGAACAATAAATAATTTAAAAAATTGCTACATTTTTCATGGGACAAAATTTGTAGAACTACACACTTTGGTATCCTATATCGACAGTTGAGGCTATTAGGTTTTGGAAACAGAACACCACCAAAAAAAAGTTCCATGATGAAAATGGCGAAAGAAAGATTATGATTTATGATTATGATTTATCATTTGGGCTAGGGAGGAACTTTTTCGAACACTTCCACTGGAAACAAAATGGTTTGGAAAGAATTTATTCCCCCACTGCTTGTCCAGGAACCACCCTACCAGTTGGGGCTTTGGGTCGCAGGGTTAACAAGAACAAAGTGATTGAATCCCTGCTGCATACTCCCCCCATACTCCCCCCACCCATGTTTGGACTGCTTCTTCAAGTCCTGCTGATGTGTGAGGCTGGCTGGTCTGCTATTGGATTACAGCAGCACCTGATTGGCACAGGATCCAGAGGATGCACTCTGATATTCTGATATTCCACTGCCAGGCACATCACTTTGGAGCTAACTCAGTCCTGATTACATCAACCCCCACCCCTCCCCAAGAATAATCACAGTTGGAGTTTATGATGGCTGGGGCTATGACAGAGAGGATTTTACAAGGACTGTGGAAGTGATGGCCTTCATGGGTTAAGAGGCCCTTTATCGCATTTCTTATGTGACCATCTGTCTGTATCACTGAACAACCTATAGGATGTGATGGTGTCTGTTCTGCTGGTGAAGGAGACAATGGTGTCTGAGGAGAATAGTCAAACAAGTTTGAATAGAAAAAACATTGAATATTCTGGAGGACTTTTTGTAGACAGATTTATTACTGTTGTACCTTGTTTATTCATGCACGGTCAAAGCATTTGTAGGGCCAGTCAACACCCGCGCCCCCTTCCCCCCATTGATATCGCACATCAACAGCCGAAGGTATTATCTGTACAGAATGTTCCCTCAGAAGATTGAGTGGATGGTTGCATCACTAGCATATTTATGGAAAGAGCAGACTTGTTGGGCCAAATGGTCCTTTCATGTTCTATACTTTTTTATGTTCTTACGTTATTTATCAATGTTTGGTTGACTTTAATGATCTCAGCAGTTTTTGAGTCATTATGTTGCATCAAGTTCTCATTCATCTTTATTCTTGCTCATAGGAACTTAGAGAAAAGGAGAAAAGATATTTATTTTCTAAAAAAAGTAAATGGTGGGTGATAGTGCTAGAGGGTGTTATAAATTTGCTCATGCACATAGCTGATGGGACAGTTTTTGAACATGCCTACATTTCCTTTCTGCTTGCCAATACTATTAATTAAACATTAGCAGAATAATTAATTAATGAACAGTTGAGAGAACAGTTTGGGCAGGCCACAAAGGATAGGAGGAAGCTAGAAAAATTAAGCATTTGGAAAAGGCACACTTTTCACACAGAAGCTGGCACTTTGCAATATTCAACTTTTCCAAAGCTAAAGCAGCACTGCCCCAGAATACCGACATTCCTCTGTCTCAATCTGTCTTACAATTTGAGCGTGCAGAATTGTGGAAAATTCTAAGTTCAATCTGAATTTATAAGCCGGTTTTCAGCAATTCCTGGAGTGGAGTCCTGTAGCTCAGTGGTTAGAGCACTCGCTTTGCAAGTGAGAGACCTGAGTTCAGTTCCAGGCACAGGGCGAAACCTTGGGTAAGTTTCCTTACTCCACACGCCTAATAATAATCCCTCCAAAACCAAAAACAATAATAAAAATTGGTCATTTTCAATCTACGACTGTTTGTGGGACATTGCTGTGCGCAATTGGCTGCCGCGTTCGCCCACAAATATACAGTCAATTCACTTTACAGTGTGTTCTGTGAAGCGCTTTGAGACGACCTCTCGACGTGAAAAGCGCTATATCAAATGCAAGGATTATTATTATTATTAATTCTTCAAATGAACCGGCTTCCAAATTGAGACGGAATTTGAGAATTCTGCACAATTCTGCGCCATCTTAAACTTTCAGACAAATGGTCTGAAATTCAGGTCTACATTATGGGTTGCACCTTTGGTGATGCTCGATTACAAGGAAGATTTCCCATTAACGGACAACGTCGCTGTGAAATATGCAGCTCACTTTACAGTATATTCTGTGAAATGCTTTGAAACATTTCGATGACATGATAAAATGTAAGGATTATTATTATTACAAGCACTCTGCATAATACAGATCCAAATTTCAGCCCC